AAGCGTTCATTATTTCCAATTTCCTAACTTTAGACTCGATTTCAACCGCGACAACGATCACTGAACATTGTAGGTTCGCACATGCTTCTAATATGTTCATTTGAACCAAATTCATGACCCCATACCAAAACTTCGTATTACCTTCAAAGGTACTATGTCCCTTTTGCAGCCAACCTCAAATTCTGTACAACTTTGCTGGAATTATGAATATGTCACGTATGTCCTATCTGTGAAATTTAAACGTTAGCAGTGTCCTCATATTCAAATTATGCAAGGAAACCCGTTTACTTGCTAGACTGTCAGACACTATTGAGTAACTGGCTTTTTTCTTCTTTGGTAATAACATACATGATAAGAGTTGTAAAGGGTACATGAGCATTTGTCTACATCAATAACCCACTTCTTGTGATGGCCAAGATTAAACTGATTGAATCTTTGCGTAGCATAAAACGTATGACCATTCGGTACAATTGTCTGAAAATCAACACTATTACTTTTGGGCTCTATAGCCCTAAAGTCGATTTGACAACTAATAGTCGTTATTTTCCCACTTGAAGACATTTTCAAGCCCCACCTTTTTTAGGGAAGTTCTAAATTAGTATTATCTTTCAAATGCAGTTGGAATTTAACTTTTCATTTTTTTGGCCTGCAAATGGGACATAGTACCTTTAAATCAATTAAAGAAATAGATGACGAAGGAGAAAGGATAGATTGAAGAAAAAATAAAGAAATACATGAAAAAAGAGAAGAGGATAGATTGAAGGAGAACACAGAAATATATAATAAAAGAGAAGAGAGGATAAATTTAACCCTCTCAAAACCCGGTCCATGCTCTCGACAATCATTCATCAACTATCTCTCGGTGGGCTCTCACAAAAGTACATCGTGTAAGAAAAACGTGGACTATAGCTCTCATTCTCTTACTCCCGTAATCACTGAATGTCTGACAGGACTAAAGAAACAACACTTGCACAGTATCTGCAGTTCAAGTAACTTTACTCGTTCCTGGCATTAAAAACGGACCTGTCGCAACGACAGGTCAACGCTGACTCACAGATCACAACTATATTATAAAACCTGCCCCAACGACAGCGTAACGCTGACTGACTGACATTTCACGATGTATATTTTTTTGTTTTAAATGATATTTTATTTCCTCATAATTTCACATAACAAGAAATTCACATATATGTATATATTTCACAATTAACTATAACGCCCTCTACGTCTTACTAAATTACTGGGCTAGTTATATATGCTACAAAGACGAATAAGGCAGCTCGGGGAGGTGAGATGGCTCCCGGCCCCCCACTCAGTGTTATTTAGGGTACGCATATGCTCGTACCCTCTTTTTGAAAGCACCCCTTATCTGTCAGGGGGGGGGGGGGGGGTGTAGTGAGCACATTTTTTTTTTTTTTTTTTTGGTCCTCGAAAATTTTAAAATTTGCACCCCCCCCCCCTTGAGCGCCAGGGGGGGGGGGGGGGCTCAACCCCCCAAAAAGGTAAATATCGCGTGATTTTACATGATTTTTTTCTCACGGGGGGGGGGGGGGCCGCCCCCTGGATCCGCCACTGATTTAGGGTACGTATATGCTCGTTTCCTCTTTTTAAAAGCACCCCTTGAGGACTGCCAACATTTCCGAACCCCCCTTTCGCGTGCTTTTCCTGCCTTGGAGACCCCCCCTAAATCAGAAAAAAATGCTCAATGTACCCCCCTAAATTCAGAATAACTTCTCAGGAGTCTAAAGAGATGAGAGAAAAAAAAGGAAAAAACACCCCCTTTTTAAAGAAATCTCTGGGTGAAAGGTCAAATACACCCCTTTTTTTTTTACAATTCTCGGGCCAGACTTTGTTGCACGAAAAGTACCCCTTTACCGGACATTTTGGCAACACGCATGCGGTCATTCCGACCCCTGAGTGGGGGGGGGGGGGGGGGATAGACACAGGTTAGATCACAGTGGAGAAGGTAGTAGAGGAAAAAATGGCTCACATTTCACAAAACTTGTCATCAGTGACAAATGACAGTTTTTGTTATAAGCTACTGAAATCCTTGTTTCAGATTGGTTATCAGAAGATATGTCATTCATTTTTGTCATTTGTCATTGAAAAAGGGCTTTCTGAAACGGGTCCCAGGTATAGTATATTCTACCTGCACAATTAGTTATATCGAGAGGAGAGACCAGAGGGTTACACTAACTCGTTTCGCTCCACCCCCACCCCCTCCCAGCTAGGAAGGGCAATGCTCAATACTTAACATCGATGATACAAATAGTAGCAATTAAAGCCTTTATATGATCATATCGCTCGAAAATCCATCATTTGCTTGTTCCCCCAATCAAAATACATACCGGTACATCCATCCATAAATAAACACATGCCTTTCAACAAAAGTGCAATATATATGATAGATGATACAGAAGGTTTACGAAAAAAATTCAGTCACATACAAAAATAATCATAGATGTAAAATTTTGTGGGATATATTTAATGGTATAACAAAAAATCAAAGCTTGTTACGTTTGTACAAGTACAGTCCATAATATTTTCATTTCATTTCCATTTTTTGTACCCATTACCTGAAAAACTGTTACAATGTAAAATGTATCTTTACATGTACATGCAGGCACAGAAGACAAGGTTCTTGATCAACCATACTTTGACCAGTGCTCTATCTATAAATTGACTATAACAAAATGATGTCAGTTAGGCCTAAAATAAAAACTTGTTGTATTGCCCTTTGCGACCGACCCTAAAATCTGAAAATCTACGGTCGGCATTTTAAAAAAGTTTTTTTTTAAAAACCGTTTTTTAGATTTTTTTCTATTAATGACTACAAAAATATGTATTTTGTTTGTTTAAATGGGATATAAATGGATAAAATCAAACTATTCCAAAATTCTCACTCGTGCAAACCATGGATAATTATGAGGTGAAAAAGATATCAATGGAATGATGACACTGAAACACATGTATTAAAGCATTAAAAACGGAGAAATATCAGGCAAAAGGGGGCGGGGAAAAAAAATGAAAAAACACAAAAACATTCTGAAAAATATCGGCCCAAAGAGGGCGACAAAAAACAAACTTTTCTGACCAACCGACCCATGTTTTGGCACCCAAAGGGCAATACAACAAGTTTTTATTTTTGGTCTTATCATTATCAACTACGGTGAGATAAAAGGTTCACACAGTACTCTCTTCTGATCCCCCCCCCCCCCCCCCCCTCTCACCAGTATGAGGGAGGTTCATCAGGATGACAGCTAGGGGTAATTTTGTGATTATAAAAAAATGAATGTCCTTTTGAAGCCGGATGGGCATGAGCTCATGCATTCACACAGATTGTTTAACAATGTTTCCAGTTCTACAAATCTGAGATGGATGGCCCTACGTGTTATCAGTGTCTGTGATATGGTGTAATATTAAAGCCCTAAATAAATTGCGCTTCAAAATGATCATGAAGTGCTCAAAAGTGTTATAACAAACTGTTCAAAATTGTGTGGCAAACAGTTTTTGACATACCTAATTCCAATCATAAATATCTTGATAATCAGACAGGTGATCGGCTTGTAAAAGTCATGGGATTCCTGACTGACCTTAAGGTTTAAAAATAATGATTGCAGCATAAGCTAAATCCAGGATTTCATTTAGAATATACCCAATCCCTTTAACACCCGTCAGGCTCTGAACGGGTGCTATACATTAAAAGTCAGTAAATCACGATAAGAGGCAAGAACTTACTTGTATTTTCTAGTTTCTGTGTTTTCTTTTGTTCACTTTTAAAATAATGCACTAACCTGTACATTTGATTTATATTTTCCTTTCCAGACAAAACAAAGTTAAGATATTACTTACAATGTATATCGGTAACGTAATTTCTACATGCCTTATTCATGTGCATGATGTATTTTGTTAATGACAATACAATGATCATGAAAATATCCTGCAGCTGAAGATGATAATTATGACGATACCACTTATGATTAAAGGGATGATGACGATGAAGTTGCTACAGCTGATGTATATTATCCTGCCATAGTAAATACAGCCCAGTGCCACAGGGCTAATCCCCATTGTTCCAAGCCACAAATCCCATCTGTGCCAAGTTTATTTTGAGATAATCTGATGGTGCGATCAATAGCGCGTGTGAAGCACTCAGCACAGTACAATGAGCATAAACAATAACTGATATTACGAATGCAAGCATGCATGCTTATTATTATTTCCTTTTATTTTTTGATTCATTTAGACTGGTCACTATTATATCCGTCCTCCATTTATTACCACAAATTATTTCATTGGGGCCTACAGCTTTACAAGCTTGCTTTCATGTAGGTCCCATCATATTTCTCTTAGTTATATCAGTACTCCATATTGACCACTTATCTTTGTGATTTATTATGTATTATTGAAAAAAACAATTTGTACTTATTTGATATGTACAGTAACATGAGAAATATGAAAAATAAATGAAATGAAAGGAAATAAAGCAGCTAAGCTGTGGCTCGCTCACGTGAATTAAGCAGCCCATCGATAGCGTGCTCGCGTGAACAAAGCACTTTAACGGTAGCGTGCATGCCGCCTTATTGCAGGATATGAGTTAATGAAAACATGTATTTTCAGATGGTAAAATGTTGATAAATATAGGACAAATGTAAAATTCAAAGTGATACGTGTAATAATTAGTAATCTATGTACATGTTACAAATCTTCTTTCAATAAGCCAGTTACCAGATACAATCTGCACATGGGTAGATAAAGGTCATTTGTACCAAAAAGGTAAAACCCACCAGATATGAATACTGGATATGCGCTCATGAAAGTTATGTATCATTATTCATTTATGCACCAACGGTACATTCTAAGATATGCAGGTGGAAGTATTCTTTTCAAGAGGGCAAACAAAAGGTATTCATGAAGCACATCTATGACTTTGGCAGTTATCATTCTAAGATGCTCAAAGTAGAACTTCAACATGTGTAAAAGATCTGTGGATATTGGGGTCATTTGTACCATGTGCTATCTGTAAACTCCCTTATACTAACAATTCAAATTCTCATAAGCTATATCAATAGTTCTCCTAGTAATTCTAGTAATTTAAAAATGTATATAAAAGTATAATGTTCTACAAATTCATTTATATTCTTTTGTTGTAGTTTAAAAAATACCATTCAAATTAGTGTAAATATATATATATATATATGTTTAATAGTTTGTTAAAAATAATTCAATTTTGTATGAATTTACTTACATAAAAACATTGTATACGTTGCATAAATGAATTTTGCATTTTGGAAATAAATAATTGATCTATGTGAAGTGCCTTTCACATTTCTACACCTTTTAACAGACAAATAAGCGAGTATGCATAGGGGGCTTTGTTATGCACAGATACTTTCAGAACCCCCCCCCCCCCCGGCATTTATTTACAAGATTATTTTTTGTTTAAATATATGTTTCATTTTTAGGTAATTTAACAGAGCTGCAAACTTAGTGCAGCCTTTAAAAAAAAATGAATATTATTATATTATGGAGCTAATGCACTATTACAAAAAATCTTGCTGACCAACTACTGAGTTGATGAAATCGATGAATTGAGAGACCCTGGTATATATTCCTGGCTTATTGGGACGTGCACACCCGTCGCCAAAGCTTGTGATGCCGACAAGATGCCACCTCCCGTCTTCACCTTCACACATCAATGGACCTCCGCTATCACCCTGCAGACAGGAAAAAAAACATCAGTGGATGAGAGAGTGTTCTATTGTACTATGTTATATGTTGAGGCATAGTATAGAGTTTGTCGTCGGGAAGGCAGATGCGCACAGGTGCATGCCATGAAGCAAATTTTTGGTAACTCTTAATTTCCATGGTTTTGATTGCTCTTCGTTCGTTCGTGTCTCCTTAGATCAAGATTACTGTAATCTTGATCTTCAGAGTAGTTGCTACAACCGGCCGTGTCAGACACGTTGCCCCGGGGTGCGAGATAGGACTCTTGTAGCGTGCCCCCATATTGATTGCTCTGTACCACTGTAATAGGTATAGACCAGTTCTGGTCATGCGATTGCATTGTGAAAGAAACGTTGTGGAATCGATCAGAAAAGGTTGATCATCTAGCATATAAGTATTGGTGTGTACTGCAAGGTTCTGGAATCATCAAAATGATAAGAAATCTGGCCAAGTCTTAGTAAAGTTACAAGCACTGTACACAGAAAGATGTATATGGGACTACATGCCTTAAATTTCAATATTTTTAGGGCAAGGCCACTTTTCTGTAGGGCACATTCCTATATTACAGCACAAATAGGAAGAATTGGAAAGGGCACAAAAAATCTCCAAGGCCAATGAGAGGGGCATTGAGGCCAATCAAAGGGGCATCCACGGCCATGGCCTTGGTGGCCTTGGATTAATTTAAGCCCTGGGACTACGCAGTATCTATCCAGGCCGGATAGATATGTTAATTTACCAAATATATCAATTAGAAGGCGGTTTCAAAGCAAAATTTGTATCATCACATATTAGTCAAAACATATTCATTCACATGATTGGTAATAAGAGTTTCCATTTCATTTTTTGAGAGGGGGGCATTTCCAAAACTGGTCTACACCTTTAAACATGACAGGGATTGCTCTCATTATCAACAATTAAAGAGAAAACAATGGATGGTTTTGGTTTTGTAACAAACAAGTATTTTTAAAGTGACTCTGTAACATTGTTGAAGGTTGATTAATATCTTCCTTCTACTATACTAACCCTCCAACATGCACAAAATCCTGAAGAAAAAAAATCTCAAACCATGAAGATATTAATGGTTTTCTAAGAAGGCGTCACTGTGCAACACCCTCTAACAGTGATTAACAGTTAATTCTCCCAACCATTTTTGAATTTTCCCAACCATTTTTCCATGAAAATAAGACAAAAGACAGGCTTTTAAAAATCTGTCAACACTTAAATGCCTGGAATAGTATATAGAGCCAATCCATTGCCTTATAACGATTTCACCTAAAATGTAATTAAATTGTAATAATGTAGTTAAGGTATTTTGATTTTGGTCTTTTTTCACTCAAACTTTCAGATTATCTTTAATTGTACATCTAGCATTGAAGTCACTACCTTAGCACCATTTTCTCTCATCTTTACAATGTTACCAAGTCCCTTTAAAGCAATAGTGCACATCCACATTTAGCACAACGGGGTTATTGCACTTAAGTCCTTCTGCCAGCCACACGACAACTGACTTTGGTCAATATCTTCCTCCTTGCCCTTTCAGGACAGCTGAAACCTTAGGCCATTGACTATTAAAGCCCGTCTGTACTAGTTTGGCCAGGAGGGATTAGATCACCCAGGAAGGTCATTGACAGGTGGTTATCTCATCAACACTGCTCTCAATTAACATGAGAAAAATGAGGATCATGGGGGACCAACAGGCACTGCTTAGGCATTGTTTTCTATATAGAGGGAGCAAGTAGCTACAAGTAGTACAGTGGGGCTTTAAAGACCTGCTCCTTGACAACCATCCCTAATACTAATATAATGTACAATGATCCAACCTATAACAACTTTTAAATAATGAACCACCCATGAGATCAACTAGAGGTATAACCCCCTCATAAAAGTACTTTCTCTAACAACAACCTCTTTATAGACAATGGTAACTACCTGACAAATTGTACATGTTAGTATAGTTCAATTAAAAACATTGTTGTGCAGAGTAGAATGAATTTGTATAGAAATTTTATAATGGATATTTATGATAATGATCATGATGATGAATGTTATTGTTTTTGTTGTCTTATCATTATTAATATTACTATCATTTTTATAATTATCATCATCATCATTGTCATCATCATTATTTTTATCATTATAACTATTACTATTATTACTATTATTACTATCATTATTTTTTTTAACATAAAGTACAGAAACAAGTAGCAAGATGTACAGAAAAACGAAACAAACCAAAAGGTTCCAAAAGTGATATATATATGAATGCCTGAACTCACTTGACATGTATCAACGCCACCGGCCTGATAGCCAGCACATATCATGGAGTCGGCCCTGAAGCTCCTGTAGGCACTGCCACAATACTCATCTGGTATTAGTCCTACAACGGCCTGCTGAAGGTCATTGGAAATGGATCCACCTTCAAAACATTAAGTGGGAAAAAAAAGGAAAAAAAAAATCAAATTCAGATTTAATTACCTATCTCCTATGAAATCTGGATGGCTCCTGTAGTTAACAGAGCTGCCAATTAACCCCAACTGATCAAAAAAATTACCGGTATTCTTTTCCCCCCAAAAAAATCCTATTTTTGATCGATAAGTACTTTCTTTTTGTTAGACTGTGTTCAGTAGGATGCAAACTTTATTGTGTTTTGATTGGCATATGTGTGCTTGTAAAATGGCGCCTGGCCGGAATACTCCCCACTTGTCCCAGGAAGCGGAGCGTGTACACTAATATGTGCGGATTAGCAATTGAATCCAATGACCATGGTAATAATGACAAATTGGCAAAATTCCAGAGATCACTCAACAAGTAGTCCTTGTAGATTCAACCTATCCTGCAGCTTGCTATAAGTCTTGTTCAGACGATGGCAATTTACCCCAGGGTAAGGTAGGGTTAAGAGCTAGTCGGTGTAAAGGTCGGAGTAGCGAACGTCTGAACAATAGTCGTGTTTGCTACGCCTACCTTTACCTTGACCAATTTACTCCTGGATTTATCAAGGAGTAACATGCTAACACGACTAGAGGGTAGCGTAAGTTAACTGTGTGGATGCTCTCACTTACACTCGGGAGTATCTGTGACCTTTCACAAGGGTTGTTTGTTAAAATAAAATGAAAATTAGATTTCGCACGGTTTATGCAGAAGGTAGTTTGAGGTATACTGGTGTAGGTGCCACCACTTCCGGAAGTTAGCTGGTCGGTGAAGGGTTGTGTTAACTTAATCGTGGCAAGTTGGTCTGAGTAAGAGGGTGTGGACAACTAATGGTGTAAGTGAAATATACATGAGATATTTACTGCTGCAGGGATTAACTTATGCTGACTAGCAAGCCCGCCCCCCCCCCCCCCCCCCCCCCCCCCCCCCCCACTGGGAATGGAGGGACCGCATTCATGATCCCAAAATCTCTGGTAAAGGGGTACTTTTCACGCAACAAAGTCCGGCTCGTAATAAACAAAAACAAATTGGCCTGCATTGACTTTACACACCGGACTTCGGGGCTTGCTTTCAAAGGGAAGGAACATGCATACGCATACCCTAAATAACACTGAGTGGGGGGGGGGGGCGGCTAGCAAGCCCCTGTCTGAACATGGATAATAGCCAGGAGAGGGTGAGAGAGGGGAAGAGAGAGAGAGAGAGAGAGAGAGAGAGAAAGAGAGCAGAAAGGGGGGTCAACCTCCTTCTAAAAAAAAAGGGGGGGGGGTCAATCTTACCCAATTGAAAGAATTGGATTTGGTATTACATCCATTTTTCTATAAACTGAGAGCTTGGGCTAAATATTCATCCTGTTCAAACTTAATTTCAATTCCTTTCAATCAAATTAAAAAGATTAAAAGATGCCTGATATTAATTTGACATATATACTGCTACATACTTGGGTAAAATATGAGCTGCTTTCAGATTCGGGATGATGAAAGTGTTTTCAATCTTAAAACTGTACATAGACTCACCCTCTGTCGTGTCACCCCACCCTGCTATGTAGCAAGTCCTATAGTTATTAATCTCATCCCCGACCGTGGCCAGGCAGGCGGGTCTGAGGAAATCACTAAACGCGGGTATGGGATCCACAAGTTTGAGCACAGCGATGTCATCACCACCAGAAGTGCTAGTGAAGTTTGGATGAGACGTAATCTCCAACGATGATGTGTGTTGGTAAGATGTGTTGCCGTTCAAGATGCTGATACCGACGGTGATGGTGTCAAAAGCTCCACTAGAATCAAAGGCAATTTGATATGAATAAGAACGACGATAAACTGTATATATACGTCATACATATATTCTTCTTCATTGATTGGTTAAAAGTGTTGATCAAAAATACTATTTTGCAAAAAGTATAATTTATGGCTAGCAAAACTTAACACAGTACTCATGTCGCAGCGCGTAAAGTATCAAAGTAAATTAAACTTTGACGTTGAGTATGAGAATACGACATTCTGTTGACATCCTATGCATGAGTAATCACTGCAAAATTTAGGGCTTGCAATGTCGACCCTGTGATTTGACCCGACGCGCAGAGGTGCATAGGTCATTTATTATCAAGCAGAATAACTTATTCAGGTACAGCAGTAGTGCAGGGCAGTTAGTTAGACTGCAGCTCATGGCGTGAGTGCTGTGGCACCGCGGGAGTTGCCTGCTGTAGGCATTTGAAATCCTGTACGCTTGCTGAATTTTCAACCCCCATAATGACAAGGCGACAGGAATGGCTATATACAGCAGGTAGTTTGAATTCTTTGATTTTTACTGCAAAATCTTTAACCAATCAATGAACAATGCATATATAAATAAAAACAAAAACACACTGCCCCTATTTGAGTCTCTGGATTAAAAAACTGTGGGCCCTCGGTGACTGCAATAGTGCCATTTTGCAGCATTGCAGGTACCTTGAGCCCATCGTTTCAACCGGATCCTCTCACGACAGTGTATATTTGTATATTAGCACTCACTGTATCACACTAAAAAACCTTAGTTTTGTTCATTCTGTAAAATGAATACAAGAGTGTTGTATGTTCATCATTTCATTTTCATAAGCTTTCTTTTACATGCTATAGTACTGCAATGAGGATGAGCGTATAGCCGGCATGTTCAATTCAGTGGCAAGTGGGGGCACCAACAGCTAATGCATTGACACTTTGTACATGACAGATTTTTGTGTGCAATCAAAATTCTTTAAAGGGCACTAATAGAATCTTTGAAACAAGTTCAATTTGTATAAAAGCAGAAAAAGAAGAGAAACAAATGCAAAAATTTGAAATAAATTAGACCAATATTAAAGGTACTATGTCCCTTTTGCAGCCAACCTCAAATTCTGTAGAACTTTGCAGGAATTATGAATATGTCATGTATGTCCTATCTGTGAAATTTAAACGTTAGCAGTGTCCTCATATTCAAATTATGCAAGGAAACCCGTTTACTTGCTAGACTTCACTGTCAGACACTATTGAGTGACTGACTGGCTTTTTTTCTTCTTTGGTACTAACATACATGAAAAGAGTTGTATAGGGTACATGAGCATTTGTCTACATCAATAACCCACTTCTTGTGATGGCCTAGATTAAACTGATTGAATCTTTGCGCAGCATAAAAGGTTTGACCATGTCTGAAAATCAAGACTATTACTTTTGGGCTCTATAGCCCTAAAGTCGATTTGACAATAATCATTATTTTCCCACTTGAAGACATTTTCAAGCCCCACCTTTTTTAGGGAAGTTCTAAATTAGTATTATCTTTCAAATGCAGTTGGAATTTAACTTTTTCATTTTTTGGGCCTGCAAATGGGACATAGTACCTTTAAGGGAGTTATGAATGTTTGAAATACACTTTAGGAGATCACTAAATCAATGTGAACAGTCACAATACTGATTAAGCCAATGGGTAGTGCCCATACGTACAGTGATTACAACTTTCAAATATTCATAACTTTCATATTTTTGTCCACTTTCATTAAAACGTCTGTTTCTCTGATTATTCATGGAGGGGTGTTGGTGCCAATCATCTCCCTATCCTTTGGCTACACTTCTATTAGTACATTCAAGAACAGTGCCATGGTGCTACATATATTGTTTTAATCGATAATAAAAAGACAAATTGGTAACTCAGTGATTTTCCTTGGGAACAGCTCTCCATTTGCTTTGTACTAAATATATTTTTTGATTTCTATTTTTCTCTAAAAATATTATATTACACATGTACATGTGCCCTAAATATATTATTGGATAAATAATGTTACACAAATGCTACGCAACACACATACATTCCAAATACTAGTAGCATCAACCAAGAAAAGAAATATCTAGTCATATAAAAAGAATGGGAAAGTTATTCATAACGGTAATCAAAGAGTTGCCTGTATGTGAGTGATCGATTACACATTTGAAATTCACAACTTTTCTCACCTTTTTTTCTCACCGGTCATTCAAAGATTTTTACTTTTTGAGGCACTTCTTGATCATTTCGAAGTGCAGTTTTTTTTAGGGCTTCAATATTACACCATGTCACAGACACTGATAACAATAGGGCCGTGCATCTCAGATTTAACATTGTTAAACGATGCCTCTAAGATTTTGGAGAAGAAAAAATCATGAAAGCCATGCCATATGAAAAATAATGATCTATGAAAATAGGTATCCCATCTTTGGAGATGAAAAACCTGATCCAAAGAAGAGGAAAAGGGTGAAGTACCAGTGTGTTGGCTCAGTCAGTAGAGCGTCCGCCTCACAACCGGGAGGTCGTCGGTTCGAACCCCGGCCGCGTCATACCAAAAGACGTTAAAAGACGGGAGTTGCTACCTTGTTTGGCGTTCAACAATAAGGGATAGAGCAACGTCGATCTGGCGCTGCTCAGTGGCTACCGGGCTTACAATCAACTGGGCAAAAAGAATTTCCATTTTCGGTTTAACTTAATAAAATTTGGAGTGGACTTTAAAAGATTATTATTACTTACACACAGTGTGCTGCAGTAATAGCCCATTCTCTGCTGATGACGGTTGCCCCGCATTGATGATTGGTAGCACCCCGGCTTAGTGATCCAATCCAAGGCCACTCTCCTAGGTTGGAGCCCTCGCCTCCAACGATCCTCTCAACTGTTTCATTGAAGACCGGCCTGGTGCCACAGATCATGGTGTTGGTGATGTCTGACAAGATCAAATCAAGTGCAACAAATATAGATTCTAAAAGATAAAGTTGAGTTCTGGGGGGTGATTCACAAAGACTAAGATCGACTTTAAGTTGGACTTAACAATCATGGAAAGCAGTTAGCATTCATGAAAGTATTTTGTAAAAGTTATTTTAAAAGGCATATAATGTTGATTCAAAGCATTCATATTTTATATTATCAAGGAGATTACATGGGGAATTTATAAAAAGTCTAAAATGCTTGAATATTCGCTTTTGAATATATTTTATTTTAAGGCTACAAACGGCCATTCATAATTTTTAAGTTCAACTTAGGATCTTCTTGAAACACCCCCCAGGTCATGCAGTTCTATTGTTAAAGAATCTCTCTGAGCAAAACCGAGGTTTGATTATGTAGTACCGGTACACAAGAATTGGTGTATACTGAGAGATTTTGGAATCACTAAAATGAGAAAAAATGCACTACATCTTGATTACTGCATCTTAATGAAGGGGGGGGGGGGGGGGGGGGGTAGTGAGCACTATTTTTGTTTTTTGGCCCTCAGAAATTTTAAAATTTGCACCCCCCCCCCCCCCTTGGGCCCATCCCCCAAAAACGTAAAAATGACGTGTTTTTACACGTTGTTTTCCAGGCCCCCCTTTGGATCCGCCACTGCTTAAGGCTACCACACCTTACAATCTGACTACGATCAAAACTGGTCTGCGACTGAGGGGCGGGATATGTGATGCAACCAGTTGGAGGTGTACCATCGTAACGTGTACGGTGGCCATAACATGTAATCAAATATCAGGGCATTTAAAAAACAATGCTTTTCAGGGGATACTTCTTTTATGATATTCTTCCAAATTTACTTTAAAACTAGATGGACCTTCAACTGCGCGTAGTCGAAAATGATGCCTCCGCCATAGAGCGATTTTACAAACCAAAACAGAATCGATTTTTAAAATTCAAGTTTGATTGTATTAAAAACCATACCGGTAAACAGGTTCTCAGAATACTGTGATTACAAGCTTGTTTTCATATACATTCATGACCTTTTGATCTTTGATCTAATGGTCCTAAAATCTAATCAGTTCATTGGCTCTGCAAGATACATACATGTCCTGAGTTTGATAGTAATCCATCCGTCAGTTCTAATGAGATGCGTTCACAAGCTATTTTTGCATACATAATGAGCCCCGTGACCTTTGACCTCGTGACCCCAAAAATCTACTCAGTTCATTGGCTCTGCAAAATACATACAAGTTTTGAGTTTGATGGTAATCCATCCATCTGTTCTAATGATAACGCGATCACAAGCTGTTTTTGCATACATAATGAGCCCCATGACCTTTGACCTCGTGACCCCAAAAATCTACTCAGTTCATTGGCTCTGCAAAATACATACATGATGTAAGTTTGCCGGGAATCCATTAATCGGTTCTTGAGATAACGTGATCACGAGAATGGGACGTACAGACGGACGGACGAACAACCCGAAAACATAACATAATGCCTCCGGCTACTATGTAACAGAGGCATTAAAATGAGAAACCTAACTAGTCTTTTTAAATCTTTCCGAGAACTAAACTATTTCTTGATGATTTACATGAAATACATTCTTGCATGTATTATTATCATCCCTAATTCACATCGTTTCATGCTGAATACCATACGTAGCATGAAATTCAATATGAAAAAATAATTTTCTTGATTATACATGTACCGTAATTAACGGTGTAATAACCGCACTTTTTTGGCGCCGAAAAAAATTCAAAGTTTTTTAAACTTTCGATTTATGCCCCTCTACCTGGCGCTATGCCTGGCAATGTCTCCCAGCTCAGTAATCAGTGTGTTGACTCACCACTCGGAAACTAGAACAACACTCAAATTTGTCTGTCATCTTGGTTTGAAAGTAATCTTTCTGATAGATCTCAATATGTAGTTTATAATAATAATTCCTCCAATTTTTCTACTATTACACGGCGTACCACAAGGTTCTATTCTAGGTCCTCTACTGTTTTTTAATTTACATTAGTGATCTTACACATTCAGCTGCACCTTAAATGAAAGGCCTTCCCGCGTGGTTTTTTTTAACACGGACCTGGCTTGCTGCCGACAAAGTAGGCAGAAATAAAAGGAAAAAAAAGAAGAATTTATTAAAAAGAGGGGTGCGGTTAATACACGAGGGCGGTTTATACACCGTTAATTACGGTATCATAATCATGATTATGGTTCGATCATCACTCTCATGTAACTGCTCGTTAGAAAAATTGACCAACGGATATTGCTAGTGTAGTGTATGGGTAACTTCAAAGAACTTTGCTCCAAAAGTTAGATTGCCCGGCCTTCAATCACTATCACGCCCTCATTCTCACCTCCTTCTGGCCCTCTGCAGAGCAAACCATCAGCAAGAGAACCCTCGTTGAGAGGACTAGCGTTGCTGAACTCCTCCTCGCAAGCAATCGCCCATGGAGACCCAGTCAAGCTCTCAAAAGCAGACGAGCATGCACTCCTGACAGCTTCACATGTGGTTTGGCACGGTCTGGCCGTGGGCCCATCGTGGATGCATTCCGGGAAGAGGACAGCACAGAGGAAGAGAGATGCATCAGTGTGGCAGGTGGTGGCAGCAGCGCTTAATACACTGAAACTTTCAATAGCAAGTGTCTGGTTGATGTCTGCCAGACTGCTAGGGTAGTAGGTCTGATTGTATGGAAGGAGTCCAAGGCAGGAGCTTTCCTTGATTGGCTCACAGCGTGCTAGAAAGAACCATCAAAGAAAACAAAATGCACTTTTCAATCAATTGATTCACTACTGACGTAATCCATGGATAACAGATTATTTCAGTATGTTTCATCATTTTATGGAACAAAGAATTTTTTTTTAAAAACTGGTATATACTTGATTCCCCCTGGCATAATGAACAATATTACATAACAATGATATTTATCGGTACCGGTAACAATGTCACATATATGCACTCTACATCAGAATTACGTGGAAACATCTTGTTATGCTACAGTTGACTTCAATAAAAAATATGTAAAAGCTATACATGCATGTAAATGACTTTGTCACAGATATTTTATCTATGAAGAAAATTCCCTGACCAATTTTGCAATCCAGTCTTAACACCAAAGAAAAAACAAATTCATTGCTGGATAACATTATTGTAATCTAGTGTGGAGTTTTAACCTTGATACAAACTACTTACGACAGTCCTCCTCATCTGAAAAACCCTCGCAATCTATCACTCCATCACAGAGGATTGAAAGAGGGCGACAAATCCCATTGCACTGAAATTGATCGTCTTGGCACACTGCGAAGAAAGGGCGAAAACACAAATTAATAAAACATCATATTCATATTTCCATCATCACATGTAAGGGGAATATTTGCTTTAATACAATCAGGAACAAATATTGCATTCTATGTAAATAAAAGTACAATTCAGCAAAACGTTGACTCTTCACAATGTACCCTACTAACAAACATATAGAGGCCTATATAAACCTTACAAAATTAAAGCTAAAGTTTGAAATCATCACATGTCATATAATGCATTCATTTTACCACATATTACATGTATGTATTCCAATTCTGTCTGGACGACGCAACATCCCTTAACCCTATATAGCCCGGGCTATTTTGAAACTGCATAGCCCGGGGGGGGGGGGGGGGGGGGGGGGGGGGGGGCTTCCAAGGCTCCCCCTATGATCTCGGCCGTGAAATGACCTATCGCCGCAAAAATTTGCATGCATGTCAAGTGAAGTGTATAGAATACTATGGTAATTTCAATTTTTTTTGAAAAATTCACTATTTGCATATTTATGGTAATTTATGCAAATATGGTAATAACATTCACATGTTTATCCATAAATCATATATTCTTCAAATTTAAACATTAATTTTCACTACATATATTATTTAGACTATTTGGGATAATAATACAGCCAAACAAATTGGAAGAGCCAGGTTATTCCTTATGTTATCTATTGTTTTGATAATTTCTTATGTATTTCTTTGTTTTTTTAACTTATGTATTTTATTGTTTTATTTCATTTCCAACTATAATTCAGCTATTTTGACCACAAAATAAACACCTAAACAATAAACTACACCAAATAACCAATGTTTTATCTCTTTATTTGAAAAATGAGATTTCCAGTTTTGTACACAAATCACAAAATTGAGCGATTTTCGGGCTGACATGCAGAGACAAAAGGACATGTGACTTTGGAATGGTAGGTCCGATTTTCTAAAAATTTCTTTCAAAAGATGCGCAAGACTCGAAAGAAAAAAGCCACAAAATTTCAGTGCAACATTTTTTTGCGTTAAAAAATTATCGCGAAAAACTGTCGAGGGGGGGGGGGGCTTCTAAAGCCAAACCTTAATGGCTTTAGACACACCATTTTCCATTTGTACTTTGGTTTATACTTTAATCTGTTTTGAAATTTATTGTTTCCATTAAGTTTTTCAAGGTGGGGGGGGGGGGGGATGGCGGTAATTTTTATATATTTATCTGTAATGATATTCCATATTTTATTGTGATGATGGAAATATATGTCAATTCAATCATTCAATAATGGATAATAGCTATTACATTCCACATACTAAGAATCTTGCTCTACGATTGGTCAAAAGTAAATCACGTGATGAAAGATAGTTCGCCCATTATTGATGGGATAAGCAAAAAGTTCATTACACTGTGTAGATAGTACTACTATTTACACAGTGCAACACACTTTCACTGAAGATAGAGGTACGATCTACACAGGGCAACGCACTTTCACTGAAGATTATCCAAAAATCAAAGAAAACACATACGCGCATCGTACCCTCAAGTGGTTGGGTTAAACTTAAACTTTTTTTGTGTGAATTTGGGCCTAGGTGTCTTTTTTGTAGATGCATACACATCCTTTTCTTTTTGTAGTTAAATTGTTTTAAATGTGGAATATAAAGCAAATAATCACCTTTTGGTTTCAGGCGATGGCAAACTATCACTTCCTCATCGATCAGAATGTATACGCTATCTTTCCTCAGCTTCACTTTGAAAAGATAGCTACATCCAGATCACCTCGGAAGAGATAGTTTGTCCCATCACCTTCACCAACGGTAGTTATTTTCTTAATATCATTTAATCACCTAACATTTACCCAAAGGACAGGCTCCAGTCATCTCTTTGAGCAAGACTTGAAGCCTCAATCATTTGTCTGAGAGGGAGACAAAGGGAGACGAAGTACTGACTGTGCCAGCTATCTTACCCCAATGACAATAGAGAGAAATGGGGAAATAATCAACTTACCGCATCCAAATTCATCTGAATCATCAACACAATCAGTAACTCCATCACAAGCAGATCCCACTGGAACTCTTTGGTCTGCATTACAAGACTCAGTTACTGGGGAAGAATATGAAAACTCGTCTCTATGAGCATGCATTTTTTGAGCAAACACTATTCAAAGCAATATGTTATGTTAACTTCACCATTTGCAGATATACTGCATTTCAAGAGAATTTGATAATTCTGAACTATGCTTTCTTGAACAAGAAACACACTAAATAGCATTAAACAGATAGGTGCAAAGGAGACAAATACATTATGGTCCTAAATAAACTCAATTTTTATTTATTTATTTTATTAATTCGTTTTGTTTAAACAGGGTAACTCAATGCCCTCACCATTATCATATACTCATATTTTTAATAACATCTTGGTTTCTTTCATATGCAACTACTTTTCTAATTTCACCACTACTACTTCTACCAGTGCTCTTACGACTACTACTGCTACTACTACTAATAATAATTCTAGGACCACTTCTACTATCAGTTACCCAAAACAATATACGTTCATGTTTTAGTACTCGTCATTTCGAAGAAGATCAAGAGATTGGGCATTTTTAGGACACCGTCCTCCTACTTACATTCAAATGGAATGGATGTCACATTTAGAACGAACCCAGAGTATCCAATTGAGTAATCAGTATAAAAATACAGATATGACTCGATCCCAAGATAGTATCTTGTTGATGCAATATATCCGGTCAGCCTTACGACAAGTGAACCCGGCTCTGATCGATCGTGGCCAATCCCGATGTAGAAGAAGTCGTAGCCATCTTCCAAATAGAAGTTTTGGATGTCGATGACGAGGGAGTGGTAAGCCTCTGCTTGGAGTACCCATATGCACTCAATGTTGTTGCCGTAGGCTAATGGGTAGTTGTCAGAAATGACAGAGTAGGGCATTGAAGTGGGAATTGTCTGAATATCAGAAGAAGGACAGCTTGGGTCTGGTGTTATGGGAAGAATGAAAAGTATGAAATATGATTAAACTGTCATTTACACAGGCATATAAGTTAGTTCATTCAATGTACTTTACAGAAATTCATTTCTTCCTCCTCTTCCTCTCCCCTTCTCCTTCTTCTTTTTATCCTTCCTGTTCCTCTTCTCCTTCTTCTTCTTATTCATCACAATCAATAATATATCATTATTACTATTCTCATCATCATCACTAGTATCATTATTATAAATACAAAAATGTACAAACAAGCAATTAGGAGTAAACAATTCTGGCAAAATTGCTGGTAAGCTGTCAAGCTTTCATATTAAAAAAGAATTAAATCAAACATGCATGGTCTTGCCTATGCCCCACAATTTTGATATTAGGATTCAAACCACCTGATATAATTGTTCATGCCAAATAACTGGCAAAGCATGACTGACCATGCCTCATAACTGGTCAAGCAAATGACCACCGGTCACTATAATCACCAACCTCATGAACCAAACTCTTTGTTTTAAATCTTTTCATGCTCATTCATGCTTGAGCCAAGTTTGGTGGAAATTGGTTAAGTGTTTGGTCACTCGTCACTGTTATAAAATATTTCTTATTTCATGAGATCTATCACCTATGATATCTTACACCTAAATTCCAATGAGCTCATTCCTACATGCTCATACAAACTTGTAACATGTTTTGTAATGATAGCTTCAATGGTTTTTACATTCATGCAGTCACAATACACATGTATTTTCTTTAATTGTTACACTTTATTGACACTGAGACCTTACACTCCAAATCTAATCAGTGCGTCCTTACATGATTAAACATATACTTGAGCTAAATTTGGTTTGAATTGATTTAATGCTTTGCACTTTACCGTGGGGACAAAATATTTTAATCACTTTTGTGACCTGTGACCCTTTACACTAAAAATGCTATGAGTTCATCCTTGGATGCTCATGTTTAGTACTTCCTTCAGCTCTGGTTTGAACCGCTTCAAATCTGTTCAAGTTTGCATTTTTAAACATTGTTATGACCCTGTAACCTCTGACCTTTGACCTATTACAACCAATATCGTGTTCATCCTTGCATGCTCTTGCATGCTTCCTCGAAGTCTGATTCAATTTGCATGGTATCAAGATTTGTTTAAATTTATTTCTTAACACTCTTGCGACCCTGTGCTATATTACCCACAACATCTATTCACTTCTTCCTTGGATGCTCACACATATACTTCATGCAGGTTTGGTGAAAATCTGTTGGTTCTTAAGCTACATGTATCACAGCTGCAGCACCACCTTCCATGGTGGAAGCATACAATTATTGATACTAGCTGTCACTGTCGCTACTATCAGAAAAAACGTTGCCTACATGTGTATCACACCAGCTATGCAGGTAAGATACATGTACTACCCGGCCCAGTCACACTCACGAGACTACATTACCCTTAATGGTAAAATATCTGTCATTTTGGAGTCGGTGTGAAGCCGGTTTGACCGTGTGACTGGGGTATAAACAGCAATGAGCCGGGCACTCAAGATGAGCTCAGAAATCTTCTGGGCTTGCATTCTTCAACCAACACTGTGTTACTTACCACAATTCCACTCATCATATCCATTAAAGCATATAGGCGACCCATCACAGGAAGTCGAGTTGGAAATACAGACATCTCTCTTTAGACAGGAGATAAAAGATGCTCCACATTCACCGGCTGTAAGAATAAAGCAGTCCATATGCATTAATGTTCAGATTAAGAAAAATATGCTTTCTTAAGGCACTTGAAACAATAACTTACAATTATTAATGAGCCAGTTTGTAGATACAAGCTGTGCATGGGCAGATAGTCATTTGTTCAAAATTGTGAAACCCACTGAGAAGAATACTGGATACCTGCTCATGAAAGTTGTCATCATTATACATTTATTCACCGATGGTAGATTCTATGATACACAGATGGGCAAACAAAAGTTATTCATGAAGCACTTCCATGACTTTGGCAGTGATTATTCAATAATGCAAAAAGGGGGACTTCTCTATGTGTCAAAGATCTGTGAATATTTGGGGATCATTTGTATCATGTGCTAACTACAAACTGATCTATAGCACTGTACTATATACCGGTTTACTGATATATTCAAATTTGTGGATGTTTCTTTCCAGGGGACCTGTTGTCAAGGTATTCCATTAACCCGTTATTGATGTATGAACTATAATACTTGGAATCCAGACTGCATACTTTACTTTTTGCTATGTTGGACAAGCCTCAAGCAATGTTTTAGTTTCTCCAGAACAACCTTTGTTTCAAAAGTATGCATAAACTATGAATAGGTTAGTAAACCAGTATATTGGAAAAATACCACCTTGCAAAATGTTTCTCTACGGAGTGTAAAGGCATGGCTGACACGTTAACAACATATACCGTAATCTACGAAAATTGTATTACTGGTAATAGTTTCTGAAACAAACATGTAAATATAAGATGCTGTATAAGTCTATTGTAAACCTAATGGGGAACCTTCAAATTAGGCAATAGCAGCGTTATACTCACACTTTTCATTACAAAGTTTTTTATTAGTTACATTATCAATTTCGATATATGTATCATTATGCACATTTTTATGTAGACTTTTATTCTGTTCCATATCAAAGAACAGGTAGCCTTGGGCTTATTGTACAAACTTTATTGATTCATAAAAGGAGATTTATTAAAAAACAAAATACATATCAATCATTCTTAATATCAAGTACAATCACATTGGTAAAAGACATCAAATAAATCTTGCAAAACTAAAACAGTTAAACTATGCACTATAAATTTAGGATCACAAAGATATTGCTTTCTTTACCCCACCTGCTTCACTAGAAGTTGTAATTTCAAGAACGAATCCTACATTCGTAGTAATGTAATCGCTGAAAAAACAAAATCCAAGCTTCTCTCCCTGGTAGTAGAACCTCCATATGTGAGTCATAAGTCCCAGAGAACCGCACCATCCACGTATCAGGGTCAAAGGTCAATCCCCCACCAATGTGGAGGTAATCATAGCCAGCCTCCGACCTGAAGTCTGTTACGGAGATCATGACACGGTAGTCAGAGGGTGCTAACACAGTCCACTGGAGGTTAAGGTTGATGTCGTAGTTTGATGGATACCCCGGTGATGTCAGATTATATATTTCATTAACAAGGGGGATATATTAACCATCGGGTCTAGATAAGGGAGAGAAAATGAGAAAACGACAAAAACTAGATGGCTGTTCGACTGCACGCAGTTGAACATCCATCTAGGAATCCATCCATCAGTTCTTGAGGTAACGCGATCACTAGTTATTTTTGCACACACAATGAGCCATGTGACCTTTGACCTCGGACCTCGTGACCCCAAAATCTAATCAGTTCATTAGCTCTGCCAGATACATACATGACTCAAGTTTGGCAGGAATCCATCTATCGGTTCTTGAGATACGCGATCACAAGCTATTTTCGCATACATAATGAGCTCGAGACTTTTGACCTTTGACCTCATTAGCTCTGCAAGATACATACATAACTTAAGTTTGGCAGGAATCCATCTATCGGTTCTTGAGATAACGCGATCACAAGCTATTTTTGCATACATAATGAGCCCGAGACTTTTGACCTTTGACCTCATGACCCCAAAATCTAATCAGCTCATTAGCTCTGCAAGATACATACATAACTTAAGTTTGGCAGGAATCCATCTATCGGTTCTTGAGATAACGCGATCACGAGCTATTTTCGCATACATAATGAGCCATGTGACCTTTGACCTTAGACCACGTGACCCCAAAATCTAATCAGTTCATTAGCTTTGCCAGATACATGTACATGACCCAAGTTTGGCAGGAATCCATCCATCGGTTCTTGAGATAATGATAACGCGATAACGAGGACGGGACGTACGGACGGACGGACGGACAACCCGAAAAACATAATGCCTCCGGCTTACTTCGTAACGGAGGCATAAAAAGTCATTATTATCAAAGTTTTCAAATATATACCATAAAGATAATAACTTCCAAATGCAAAATATAAAGAAACAACCATTCAAGCATTCTATGAAAACAATTTTTTACATTCATGGGTAAATGTTAAAGGCAGAAGGGATTGTCAGGCCCAACACATGCCTTTTGACAAATTTCTTTGTTGTATAGTAAATTGAGTTCACCTTCCTATAATGTGCAAAATATCAACCATTTCATTGTCTCCAAGATATGAACTTCTGTAACAAAATGAATGTAAGTGTGAAACTGTATGACATTACATTCTTATTTTCATTTCCATGACCAAGCTGATTTTGTTCATTTAATGTTTTATGTTACACTGTCTGTTACACTAACTTATGAACAAAGTCAAGGGTTGAAACTTGACCCTGATGAAATCAACAGACCCTAAAGTTGAGCCAGATTTAATATCTGGCCACATTTAAGAAGAGTGGCAGTTTTAATTTAACTACCAATTAAAAAACAATTTTCTTGTACTGGATCTGTAAAAGAAACACACAAACAACAGAGACATGATTGGAGTTCAAGTATAACAAGCAATATCACCCTCAGAGAACTACGAAAGGCTAAAATGAAGGTTAATGGCTCTCAGAAAGCAATAATAGATAACCATTGCCTATGGCCCCAAAATGTAACTCTGGACTCCTTTAAAAATTGGGGGAAAAGGAGTGACACCCCCCCCCCCCCCCATGCACAAAGACCTTACTAATTTTGACACCTATACTTTACAAAAGACCAAACAACCAATGTTTTATCTCTTTTTTGTATAAATGATATTTTCATATGTTTGTACACAAATGCCGAATATGAGCCATTTTCGGGCTGAAAGACAAAAGGTCACGTGACTTAGGACAGCAGGTCCAATTTTCAAAAAAATTGTTTCAAAAGATGCCCAAGACTCTAAGGAAAAAAAGTCGGGAAGTGGCATTGTTAAATTTTAATCAAGCATTACGAAGTAAATCACGAAAAAAAAGTGGGGGGGGGGGGGCTAAACCAGTAATTTTAGGGTTAATATAGGGAATGTGATTGAATTGCTTTTTATATGACATTATCATCATTAATATTTATCCAAATTTGCCTGGCACTTAACAAGTTACCTCGTAAAGTCTATTATTATTTTTGTTTACAATAACAACCTCACAAAATATCATTCGAATGATGATGATCATCATTAATGATTTTGCAAAAGTTACCTGCTGGAAAATAAAATAATGATGATATTATCTTATATGATAAAATTCACTTGCCTGTAACAACAAGATTAAAGGTGCATGTCTCTGTATTTCCTGCACCATCTGTTGATGTGTAGGTCACTGTGTTGTTTCCGATAGGAAAGTAGTCTCCAGAATTGTGAGAGGATGTCAGTGTCTGGTTACCAGAGTTATCTGTTGCTGTAGGTGGTGTCCAGGTTACTACAGCTGTAGCATTCCCAAAGTCTGTGGTGACATTCTGATCACTTGGGCATCCACTGATGACTGGCTTCTCATTATCTGTGAGAAAGATTAAATAAGATATAAAATATGTTGCATTTCTAACAAGACAATTTGCTTGCGTCTTCTATATATGCCTCCACCCTGAATTCAGTATAGGAAATGGATTAAATGATTCACGACATATCACGATGCTTATAATCAAATGCCAACTGACAACTATACTAGCCGTAAAATATAAACAGATCATCTTGCTCTGGTAGTACTGTCAACATTTTTAAATATTTCAATAGCAAGGCTAAAACCCTTTAATTTCAATGATTGGCCTCTGTGAACTTTAATCTATACGTACCTCTAATCTAATGTATTCCTATGTTAACAATACTATCAACAAGTTTGAGCATTATACCTCTAATGGTTCTTGAGATATCGCGATACCAAGGCCAATAGGTGGAATTACAAAAGTTGACCTATCTGACCTTTGACCCAGTTACTCAAAAATATAACCAGATTGTTTTTCTATGGTTATACATAGTATCATTTAGTTTGAAGTCCATAACTGAATCTTTCTTGATATATCGGGATTACGAGAAAGCAGGACAGACACCATGAAGGGGCGGAGGCATAAAAACTGGTTCCAGCTTACACTAGAAAATGCAAAACTTCTTTTCAGAAAATAAAGCATAACATGAACACTTACCAGACACAACTACAAAGAAGGTGCATATTTCTGTATTTCCTGCATCATCGCTTGCATAGTAGGTTACTGTGTTGTTTCCGATTGGAAAGTAATCTCCAGGATTGTCTGTGGATGTCAGTGTCTGGTTACCAGAGTTATCTGTTGCTGTAGGTGGTGTCCAGGTTACTACAGCTGTAGCATTCCCAAAGTCTGTGGTGACATTCTGATCACTTGGGCATCCACTCATGACTGGTTTCTCATTATCTGAGAGAAAGATTAAATAAGACATAAAATAGGTTACATTTCTAACAAAACACATTTGCCTGCGTCTTCTTTATGCCTCCACCCTGAATTCAATATAGGAAATGGATGAAATTATACACGACATATCACGATGCTTATAATCAAATGCCAACTGACAACTATACTTTCCCCAAAATATAAACAGATCATCTTGCTCTTGTAGTACTGTCAACATGTTAAAATATTTCAATAGCAAGGTTAAAACCCTTTAATTTTAATGGTTGGCCTCTGTGAACTTTAATCTATACGTACCTTTAATCTAATGTCTTCCCATGTTAATAATACTATCAACAAGTTTGAGCATTAGGCAAGGCGTCAAAAATATCGATACCAGCAGGCTGCCGCCTCACGTATTGGCGCATCGAGGCTGCAATTACGGCCGAAGCCTGGCTGGGGCAATTATTTTTCACTTATTAGCCCAGACAGCTTGCGCCAGTCTGGGATCTGAGGCTCGGTTTCCATTCGAAAGGCGGCAGCCGGCGCATGCTTTTGAATGCCATTTCCTACCGCCAGCGGTAGCCGGCTGAGCTAATTTAAAAAATGCAGCCAGGACGCACAAGTGCAGTTAGCTGCCGCTTGCTGGTATATTTATTTTTGACGCCTCGCCTTATACCTCTAATGGTTCTTAAGATACGGCGATACCAAGGCCAATAGGTGGAATTACAAAAAATTGACCTATCTGACCTTTGACCTAGTTACGCAAAAATATAACCAGGTTGTTTTTCTATGATGATACATAGTATCATTTAGTTTAAAGTCCATAACTGAATCTTTCTTGAGATATCACGATTACGAGAAAGCAGGACAGACAGACGGACAGACACCCAGAAAACCTAAAGCCTCCGGCATCAATTTAGGAGGGCAGATCGAGGCATGAAAACAGGTTCCAGCTCACACTATAAAGAGAACGAAAACTGCTTTTCAGATAATAAAACATAACACAAGCACTTACCAGATACAACTACAAAGAAGGTGCATATTTCTGTATTTCCTGCGTCATCGCTTGTATAGTAGGTTACTTTGTTGTTTCCAATTGGAAAGTAGTCTCCAGGATTGTCAGTGGATGTCAGTGTCTGGTTACCAGACTTATCTGTTGCTGTAGGTGGTGTCCAGGTTACTACAGCTGTAGCATTCCCAAAGTCTGTGGTGACATTCTGATCACTTGGGCATCCACTTATGACTGGCTTCTCATTATCTGTGAGAAAGATTAAATGAGACATAAAATATGTTGCATTTCTAACAACACACATTCACCTGCGTGTTCTATATGCCTCCACCCTAAATTCAGTACAGGAAATGGATCAAATTATTCACCATATATCACGATGCTTATAATCACATGCCAACTTACGTCTATGACCTTGATAGCTAGCCCCAAAATATAAACAGATCATCTTGTTCTGGTAGTACTGTCAACATGTTTAGATATTTCAACAGCAAGGCTAAAACTCTTTAATTCCAATAATTGGCCTCTGTGAACTTTAGCCTACTTACCTTTAATATAATGAAACTGTCTTTCTATGTTCATATTACTATTAACAAGTCTGAGCCTTAAAGGTGATTTTCATTCATATTGAATTAGGTATCGTTAGAAAGGTTATTTTCAGTTCTTTCGTTTTTTTTAAAGTTCATTGTCAATAAACATAAGGGGAAGGAGATATAATGGAACAAAGTTACGAGAATCAAGTTTTTCTGAGAGAATTTCGTCTACGATACCATTAGGAGGTTTGGGCATTTGATGTCATTCCGTGGAATATTCACAACACGGTCACCGCGCGCATTCTTTTCGCATTCAGATAGCACTGCAGGGTACATATCAGAGTGAAAGTATAGACATTATATCGGGATATTAATAATCAGCAAAAATGACAGAAGACAGCTCAGATGAACTGGAAATGATTGTGGAGTATGATGAAGAAGAAGTTAGTAGCAATGATGATGGTATAGAAAGTGAAGATGGTGGTGAATTGGGCGAATAAAAAGATGACGAAAATGTAAACGCTGATCGAATCGTGATGCGGGAGTTGCAGCTGCAGCTATACTCCAGGAAGCTCAGACGCCGACGCCGGAGCTTCAGCGGGTGCTCAGAGAAACATTCAAACAGCGGGTTGGGCGACATTTTCTCAAAATATGCAAAGGGAGTAATTACAATTTTGACGTACTAGGTTGCACGACTTCTCTGAGTATCTGGCTGGCCAATTGAAATTATAATTTGAAAAAGTCTTCGATGGGGAAAAGGGGGTAATTCTTCGTCTTACATGTACCTTGACGATTCTTCCGTTGTATCGTCGATTCAACATGCATGGCAAAGAGAAAGTACCGCACTACCGCGCCGTCTCTTTGCTGAGTTTTTTTTTGATCAGCAGACATTTCAACTAGACGAGTAGTAATTACAAGTCGAGGAATACAACCGTTTTAATTCACCTGCATTCTGGTCGCGGTCTCCTTGCTTAATTTGTTCGATTGACAGACATTTCAGCTAATTTATAGCCAGAGAAAAACAACTATTATCTCCGAAAAATGCCACGCTGCAATACACTGAAACACGTACAGTGAACACTTCACTACGAATGGCTGAGCTGAGCTATCGCGAGTTTTCCCCGTGCCGCGAAATTCAAGTTACGCTAATTATCAAAACAAAACATAGGCGAGGCCGGTGTGTCAGGATCTGCAAGACATCAATTTTACAGTACCAAACGTCAGTATTTCAAGGAAACCAAACATCGGGAAGTAACCATTGCTCATATAATTGAAAGAATGTTTATTACTTAATTGTAAATTCGATAAAACACTTCATTAAATATCACAAAAATTGCAAAATCTACTTAAAAAATGAGCCATGTTTGTGTACGAATTTTCATTGAAATAATACGTTCTACTTCCCGGTTTAGGAACAGTCCACGGAAATACGTCACACATACTACGTCACGAACGAGAATATCAACGCTTCCGGGTTCCTCTGCTTACACTATTTATCTTTCTAAGTCTAATAATAATGTAACAACACATGCAAATTTCTGTCAATCAATATATTTGAATTCCTTATGTCATAAGCATTCCAACAATAGCAAACATGCATATTTTCATCACTTTCTTCCAAATTCACCTTTAAATCTCAAGTGGTTCTTGAGATATCGCGATACCAAGGCCAAAATTTTTTTTTTAAATAGGTGGAATTAAAAAGGTTGACCTCTCTGATCTTTGACCTAGTAACTTAAAAATAAAATCAGGGCACTGATATAATCAGTTTGAAGTCCATAACTGAATGTTTCTTGAGATATCGCAATAAAGAGAAAGCAGGACAGACGGACGGACAGACATGCACCCAGAAAACCTAAAGCCTCTGGCTCCAATTTTGGTGGGCAGAGGCATGAAAACTGGTGCCAGCTCACACTAGAAAATGCAAAACTTCTTTTCAGAAAATAAAGCATAACATGAACACTTACCAGACACAACTACAAAGAAGGTGCATGTTTTTATATTTCCTGCATCATCGCTTGCATAGTAGGTTACTGTGTTGTTTCCAATTGGAAAGTAGTCTCCAGGATTGTCAGTGGATGTCAGTGTCTGGTTACCAGAGTTATCTGTTGCTGTAGGTGGTGTCCAGGTTACTACAGCTGTAGCATTGCCAAAGTATGTGGTGACATTCTGATCACTTGGGCATCTACTTATGACTGGCTTCTCATTATCTGTGAGAAAGATTAAATAAGACATAAAATATGTTACATTTCTAACAAGACAAGTGCGCCTGTGTCTTCTTTATAAACAGATCATCTTGCTCTGGTAGTACTGTCAACATGTTAAAATATTTCAATAGCAAGGTTTTACCCTTTAATTTCAATAATTGGCCTTCATGAACTTTAATCTTTACTTACCTTAAATCTAATGCCTTCCTATGTTAATAATGAATATTATATCATGCATCAAAAATTTATTGGCTTTTGATTGGTTGAGAGCTTGTCACGTGAACAGAAATATTTCATCTATTTTAAGGTTCCTCTGAAAAAGAACTATATGAGAGTACTATTTGGGAGTAGAAGTACTATTTGGGAGTTGAAAAAAAATTGTGATTTTTTTTTTTTTTGATTGATTTTTTTTCTTCTTCAAATCTTCATTTAATAAAAAAAAAAATATTTCAAATCTTTTTAAAAAATAAAGTTTTGATGCAGGATATAAAACAAATATACTAGTGCTGTAGCCGAACCGCCGAACCGAACGGAAGTTTGCCGAACATGGCACTTCCGAACCGAACCGAACCGAACCGAACGCAAAGGCCTGGTTCAGATGTTCGGCAGAAAAATGTAAACGTTTTTGCAAGCTAATAAACTAGTCATTTTGTACCTAATTTTCATGTCATGATTGCTCATTTTATATTTACTTTTTTCCCATTTTCCGCCTTTGTGATTTATGTATATCCAGTGGTGGGCGCGACTCATAGAGATATATACTTAATAACATTAAGTATATATCTCTATGGCGCGACTTCACTGGCGCCATTTAAAATCCCAAATCCTGACCAGGCTCCGTCGCGATCGCAAGCCATAAACAAGTTGTTGTTGTTGTTGGGTAATTGTTTATTGGCGTTCATTCAATGTTGAATATATACGCCATAATTATTTTTAATTTTATAAGGAAAATCAGTTATAAATAAGAAAACTGAGGATAAAGATTTGTAATGATATAATTAAAAAGTAACAAGAATAAACAAGAATACATGTGCGTGATCAAAACGGCTCAAACCCATTCAACAAAAAAATAATATTTTAATTGTAACAATATCGGACAAATTTTACAATATAAATAATAAAATAAATATATATTATAGTATGGTATTTATTTATTCAGGAAAATAGGGATTTTATATTTTTCCTATTGAAAATAAAAACTTATAAAAACAGTTATTGACGAACCATTCAAGATGGCAACTTTCATGACTCTAACAGTAGACAACAACCGTCTCGGAAAATCTTTAAAAAATATCACTTATTGACAAATTGAAAACATGATTCTTTTAAAATTGAAAATAAAACACGATTCAAGACGGAAATACGAACGTAAGTAGTATTTTTCTTCACAAATAATTACGTTTAGAGCATATTTTTAATGTGAAATTCGTGCTGGTCGGAAGCAGTGTGCAAAAGTCCTCCGTGCTGGTCGGGCCCGGCAGGCCAGCCAGCCCGCCCAGGGCCGACCGCCGTGGCTATAACGCTGCTTGCTATTATATTACCGAACCCCGAACCGAACCAAGTTCGGGTGAAAAATTGCCGAACTCTGCCGAACCGAACCGAACACGAACATAGCGTCTGACTTACAGCACTAAAATATACCATGCCTTCTAATCGAGGTACTGGTTAAAACTATGGCCCTCGGTGACTCCAAAAGTACCATTTGCATCTTTGCTGCGCCCCTCAGCAAATAGTACTATTGTACTCTGTTCACACTGGTTTTGCTTAACCCCGTACTTTGCTTAGCCCCGTACTATCCTTAACCCCGGACTATTTTTTTTGGCTTTTCACACACGCTGTTCTCACTGCAATATCGTGAATGTTATGATTGGACATACTTCGCATCTTGCCAGCTACGATACGCTCCATTGTGAGTACCAGACTATTTTTCGTTTCTGTTCTCATTCATTTTCTTGGCACTGCAATTGCGGGGTTAGCAGGAGTTAGCACCAAAATTGCGGAGTTAGCCATGCTATTTTGCAGGGTTAGTTAACCCCGAACTATAGGTGGGGTTAGCCAACTTTAGCCCACTTTGGTAAAAGCCAGTCTGAACAGAAAGTGGAATGAACGGGGTTAAGCAAAATAGTGCCAGTGTGAAAACAGTATTGGAGTCACCTCTAGTGCGTAGTTTTAACCAGAACCTCTCAAGACAGTGTATATTTGTATACTAACAACAAGTTTGAGCATTATATCGCTAATGGTTCTTGAAATATCGCGATACCAAGGCCAATAGGTGGAAATACAAAAGTTGACCTATCTAACCTTTGACCTAGTTACTAAAAAATATAACCAGATAGTTTTTCCATGGTAATACATAGTAAGCAAATATTAATCGACTACGAGGGTAATGTGCAAACTATCATCACCGAGGTGATCTCGGGGCTACTATCATCCCGAGCCGCAAAAAGAATCCAAATGTCATATACAAACTATATATTAGGTACAAACAATCTAGGACTTAAATGTTTAACACAATTTGACTTTATAAAGTAATGTAAAACAGTGCGAATGGGACATTGAAGGAATATGGACAATATTTTGAAGAGTTATTGACATGAATTGTCCAAAACACTTTTTGTCATAAAAATAAATATAATAAGGGTCTGCATCATTACTTGGAAATGGAAACCAAGTTATGTTGAAACAGTTTACCAATATCAGTTCCTATAAAACCTGGTGCCTTTTCCAATCCATCTTACAATACTTGGATCACATGATCCATGAAAGTCAGAAAATCAGAAGTATATTTACAAGCAGGGACAAGAAAGTGAAAAGTATGATCACTAGCCTGCAATTATAACTTTGCATTGCGTAGTCTTCCATGATTTCAACTCTGCATTATGAAATTCCATAAAGCATAAAGAACTCACCATGCACTGCTATATCAAAGGTACACGTCATGACTGAATTGCCTGAGCCATCAGTGGCTGTGTAAGTCACCCGAGTGCTTCCAATAGGGAAGGGATCCCCAGAGCTGTAGTCAGAGGTCAGCGACACAGAACCAGAGTTATCCAAGGCCGTAGGTGGTGTCCAACTGACCACTGCAGTGGCTAATCCGTTATCGGTATTGACTGATTGGGAAGGTGGACAACTGCTGATCATGGGATCTTGCATATCTAACAGGGAGGGGAATAGAATGCACAGTATTTTGGGGGTGAATATGTTAATTTCTTCCAAACATTAAGGAAATGCACAGCCTCACAGTAATAATAAGCATAGTAGTCCTTATATAAAGGGCTGCTGTTTTTTCTCATTCAGAGATGATTAACTATGTCACCTTCAACACTATTTGTTTATCCCAACATTCTTTTACAACTCTAGTTTCCTTTTAATCACTTGACTTAGTTCTTTGAGAATTCCTTTCTCTAGAAGCAGACTAAAACCTTGTTCACACATGGAGAAAGTAACCTAAAAATGCTACATGAAAACTCTGCATGTGAACGAATGGCAAGAGGCAATATTGTCAGGGGTAAAGCATACCCCTGTCCAGATAGCAATACCCATAGTACATACATTTCTATTGCTTTTGACTAAAACGATGTCCACTCTTTGATCGCTGTGTTTCAAAATATAGAAATGTAGAGCATAGAATAAAGAAAATATAGAAAATATAGAAATATCTCTTCTGTTTTTTTTCATGGTAATTTTCTCAGCAGTTTATTGCCCAACGTCTGAATGGGCCTCACATCTGAACCAAAATGCGGCCACAAAGGTCTCCATTTACCTGTGACAGTCACAAGAAAGAAACAACTTGCTTGGTTTCCATACGAATCTGTCGCACTGGCCGTCACATTGACTTGACCAATGCTATAATCTCCAGGAGAATGTGAAGCGGTGACCGTCACATCGCCAGAGAGGTCTGTGGCTGAAGGTTCTACCCATGTTAGGGTCACGCTTGATTGTCCAGCAGCCAGAGTGCCGGAGACATCATCTGGACAGGTGATGGTGGGCGCAGTGGTATCTAATAATGCAAATCAAATGTTTTAATCAAGTATTGAAACTTCTATACAGTATACATGTACAGCAGGATGGGTATTCAATTCAATACTTACTTAGAATAAGTTAGAAATTGACTAAGTAAATGGCTAAGCTAAGAAGTTTACTTATCTCGTATTTAAATGTCTGGCCAACTGTTTTGTCTTGTTGCTACAGGTAATCATGTAAGGCCTGTACTGCCAGCTTCATGGTCGAGTGGCCGGCGACTAATCCGGCCCCCCACTGAGTCTCTCAGTGGGTGGGTGCCTAGACACCCTGCAGGATGAAAAATAACACCTGTCAAAGCATGGCCCCGGTTGGTCATGCATCTAGGACAAGTCGGCCACTGGCTCCTGGTTGCAGGGGGAATATGAGCTGCGCCTCGGTGACCAACGGCTTCGGGCGGAAGAGTTACTGGGAAGAGGCCACTTATGGTTGCGACAGGAAGGGCATCCGGTGTAAAATAAAGCTCCACCAAATTTCATTTAATGGCAAGACAGAACAATATGGGCTCTGTCCAGCCGAAGGACGGCGTGGGTCACTCCACCGACCCTCGCAAAGCCGTGGTGGGAGAAGAGACCGAACTAGTGTCCATAATGACAGCAAACAGCCTGATGCTGGCGCTGTGGACGGTCAGAAGGACAAGATCAGACACTCAGGTTCGGAGAACAACATACGTGTAGCCACATGGAACATAGGGAGTATGTCAGGAAGGTCAGGAGAGGTAGTAGATGTGATGAGACGGAGAAAGATTGACATCTGTTGTCTGCAGGAGACCAGATGGAAAGGAGGCAGTGCCCGTTGGCTTGGTAGTATAGGAGCCAGGTATAAGTTTTACTGGCAAGGTAAAGATGATGGTACTGCTCGGGTAGGGATCGTGATAAGCGAGACGTGGGTTACCCAAGTGATTAGCATGGACAGGATTAGCGAAAGAGCCATGGCACTTAAACTAGTCATAGGGAGCAAACTTATCAACATTCTCTCTGTCT